CCCCCCCCCCAGAGCAGGCATGAAAGAGGTTGTGACTTGCCAGGTGCCCAGATGTTGTCTTCGAATCATCTCAGGATGAGTTCTAGTCCTTACCTTGAGGGCCCAGAAAGTCAATTTTGTTGGCATAGACAGCGCCCAGCCCTGCCCAATGCCACAAGCAAATGTGACACCAGCAGCCTCGTTGTCTTAATCACAGTGAGACGTATATGTAAGTTAGGTGAATGGCAGGGTGTGAGTTGCTCTGACCAGCACGTTTCCTCCTCCCGGGGATGCTGTGTGAGAAGTCATCATGAGGGGCTTACTTGGGAAGGGATCTTAGCCAGGGCAGCTCAGGATGCCTCTCCCCAGCTCGGAAACAGCAGCTTTGGCCTCTCAGCCCAGCCTCCGTTGCCCCTGGAGGACACTGGGGCCCCCACTTCTTGTGGTTTCTTTGGCTGGTCCATTTCTGGTCTCCCTCAGCTGTTCATGCAGCCTCACTCTATGGGATACATGGTGCGTTTTTCGATCATAGACACACATGTGGCCACTGTTGCAGCACACACTTGCCAGGAGTTTCATTTCAGAAAACTCAAAGCTTGGCTAATTTGGTAGGTGAAAAATACAGTTTTTGTCTTTTATGAGAATTGCAAAAGACTTTTGGGGACAGTGTTTCCATATAGCAGAGTGGTGTACGGTGAAACAGCTTCTAAATGGAGTGTTTCTCTTCAGGTGGTGATAAACGGAGGTGCCACGTCCAGCGGTGAACAGGACAATGAAGACACTGAGCTCATGGCAATCTACACGACAGAAAATGGCATTGCAGAAAAGGTACCCCCTCCTCAGCCCTACCCACTCACCTGCCACCGCCTCAGATCCTGTACAGGGACATGGATGTCCTTCATCTGGGGGTTTTGTCTTCTTCCCTCCTGAGTGGGTGTGTGCCTGGGTGGGTGTGTTCCCCTTGTAATGGAAGTAGAAGAAGTCATGAGGAATAGGAGTTATTTTTTTTGTTTTACTGGCAGTTAAGGGGAGACCCCTATAAAGGTCCTTATCTAGATATTTTAAAATGCCTCAGCTGGGTGCCAGAGGGAAGTGGTTAAGAGTTTGAGGTCTGAAATTGGGTCTGGGTGCTACTGTGACTCAGATCCTAAGGGAATTACTTAAGCTCTCTGGCCATCAGTTGCCTCCTCTCTAAATGGGTATAAAAATATCAACATCTGTCTTAAAGTTGTTGTGACGATTAAATGAAATAATATATGTAGGGTTATTAGCATGTGTACATACTGTGTGTGCGGTAGATAAGAGAGTGAGAGATCCAGCAGGTAGTTTGTGTAGACCATGAAAGTGCCTTGGACAAAGCTCTTTGACCAAAGCAGTGGACATCACACACGGAAGTGGGGAGAATCTTTTTGGCCTCGTGCCATCTCCTCGACAGGTCAGTCTGTGTGACCATATTCGTCAAGGCTGGGAGAGAGCTGCTCACAGAGGGTCCAGGCGCCTTCATTTCTTCCTCTTTGTACCTGCCACTGTGCCTAACACATATGGAAAGTTTGATGACATGGCATTTCCAGATTGCATTGCAGCCCTGAGTCTTCCCAAATTCGTTTGAGTTTTATTTGATAGACTTTTAAAACAGATTTTATTTTTATTGTGAAAATTTACTAATTTAGTCAACTATATAATGAGGCCTTGTATTCTAGCACCACTCTCCTGTACTGTAGACAGTGTGTACTGTATGTTCTGTGGCAGACTACTAGGAAGTTCATACATACAAACAGCACCCAGCTGGTGTATTAGAGCAGTAATTTTAATTTTACAGTGCAGTCACTAAAATGATAAAGAGCAAAGAAATTATATTGAAATTTTGAAATAATCAAATTTTTGTATCTGTGGTTTCTTTCTTTTTCTCTTTCTCTCTTTTTTCTTTCTTTTCTTTTTCTTTTTTTAATTTTTGTTTTTATAGCAGTAACATTGGATTATAACATTATGTAACTTTCAGATGTACATCATAATATATTTCGAATTCTGTGTAGATTACGTCATGTTTACCACCCAAAGACTAATGATAATCCGTCGCCACACACATATGCCTAATCTCTGCTTTAGCCCTCCCCCTCCCCCCTTTCCCCTCTGGTAACCACCAGTCCAATCTCTGTTGCTACGTGTGTGTTTGTCGTTGTTTTTATCTTCTACTTATGAGTGAGATCATACGGTATTTTACTTTCTCCCTCTGACTTATTTCACTTAAGATAATACCCTCAAGGTCCATCTGTGTTGTCACAAATGGCTGGATTTCATCATTTCTTATGACTAAGTAGTATTCCATTGTGTATATATACCACATCTTCTTTATCGATTCACCCCTTGATGGGCACCTAGGTTGCTTCCAAGTCTTGGCTATTGTGAATAATGCTGCAATGAACATGGGGGTACATGTATCTCTATGCATTTGTGTTTTCAAGTTCTTTGGATAAATACCCAGCAGTGGAATAGCTGGATCATATGGTAGATCTATTCTTAATTTTCTGAGGATGCTCCATACTGTTTTCCATAGTGGCTGCACCAGTTTACACTCCCACTGGCAGTGTAGATGGTTCCCTTCTCCGCACACCCTCTCCAATACTTGTTGTTTAGTGTCTTGTTAATTATAGCCATTGTGACCCGAGTGAGGTGATATCTCATTGTAGTGTTGATTTGCATTTCCCTGATAGTTAATGATGTTGAACATGTTTTCATGTACCTGTTGGCCATGCATGTCTCTTCTTTGGAGAAATCTCTATTCAGATCTTGTGCCCATTTTTTAATTGGGTTGTTGGTTTTTTTGTTATTGAGATGTATGAGTTCTTTGTATATTTTGGATATTAACTCCTTATCCAATATATGGTTTGCAAATATCTTCTCCCACTTGTTAGGTTGTCGTTTCATTTTGTTGATGGTTTCCTTTGCTGTGCAGAAGCTTTTTAGTTTGATGTAGTCCCATTTGTTTATTTTTTCTTTTGTTTCCCTAGCCTGGTCAGACATGGTACTTGAAAATATGCTTCTAAGACTGATGTCAAAGAGTGTGCTGCCTATGTTTTCTTCCAGAAGTTTCATGGTTTCAGGTCTTACATTCAAGTCTTGAATCCATTTTGAGTTGATTTTTGTTCGCGGTGTAAGATGATGGTCTGCTTTCATCCTTTTGCGTGTGGCCATCCACTTTTCCCAGCACCATTTATTGAAGAGACTCTCCTTTCTCCATTGTATGCTCTTGGCTTCCTCGTTGAAAATTAGCTGGCCATAGATGTGTGGGTTTATTTCTGGGCTCTTGATTCTGTTCCATTGATCTGTGTGTCTGTTTTTGTGCCAGTACCATGCTGTTTTGGTTACTATAGCTTTGTAGTATATTTTGAAATCAAGGAGTGTGATACCTCCAGCTTTGTTCTTTTTCCTCAGGATTCCTTTGGCTATTCGGGGTCTTTTGTTGTTTCATATAAATTTTAGGATTCTTTGTTCTATTTCTGTGAAAAATGTTATTGGAGCTTTGATAAGGATTGCATTGAATCTATAGAATGCTTTAGGATGTGTGGACATTTTAACTATGTTAATTCTTCCAATCCAAGAGCATGGAATATCTTTCCATTTCTTTGTGTTGTCTTCAATTTCTTTCAACAATTGTTTTGTAGTTTTTGGTGTACAGATCTTTCACCTCTTTGGTTAAGTTTATTCCTAGGTATTTTATTCTTTTTGTTGCAATTGTAAATGGGATTGTATTCTTAATTTCTCTTTCTGCTACTTTGTTGTTAGTGTATAGGAATGCTACTGATTTTTGTATGTTGATTTTGTATCCTGCAACTTGACTGTATTGATTTATCATTTCTAAAAGTTTTTTAGTGGATTCTTTAGGGTTTTTTATATATAAAATCATGTCGTCTGCAAATAGCGACAGTTTCACTTCTTCTTGTCCAATTTGGATCCCTTTTATTTCTTTTTCTTGCCTCATTGTTCTAGCTAGGACTTCCAATACTATGTTAAATAAGAGTGGTGACAGTGGGCATCCTTCTCTGGTTCCTATTCTTAGAGAGATATTCAGTTTTTCTCAGTTGAGAATGATAATAGCTGTGGGTTTGTCATATATGGCCTTTATTATATTGAGGTATTTTCCTTCTATACCCATTTTACTTAGAGTTTTTGTCATAAATTGATGCTGTACCTTGTCAAATGCTTTCTCTGCAGCTATTGAGATGATCATGTAATTTTTATTCCTGCATCCCTGGAATAAAACCCACTTGGTCATGGTGTATGATCTTTTTAATGTACTCTTGTATTTGATTTGGTAGTATTTTGTTGAGGATTGATGACCATTGATGGTCATCAGTGATATTGGTCTATAATTTTCTTTTTTTGTGTTGTCCTTGTATGGTTTTGGCATCAGGATAATGTTGGCTTCATAGAATGAGTTAGGAAGATTGCCTTCCTCTTCAATTTTTTGGAATAGTATGAGAAAGATAGGTATTAAGTCTTCTTTGAATGTTTGGTAGAATTCACCAGGGAAGCCATCTGGTCCTGGACTTTTATTTTTTGGGAGGTTTTTGATTACTATTTTGATCTCCTTACTGGTGATTAGTCTATTCAAATTCTCTACTTCTTCTTGATCCAGTTTTTGAAGGCTGTAGGATTCTAAGAATGTATCCATTTCTTCTAGATTATCCAGTTTGTTGGCATATAGCTTTTCGTAGTGTTTTCTTATAATCTTTTGTATTTATGAGGTGTCTGTTGTAATTTCTCCTCTTTCATTTCTGATTTTATTTATTTGAGCCTTCTCTCTTTTTTTCTTGGTGAGTCTAGCTAAGTGTTTGTCAATTTCGCTTATCTTTTCAAAGAACTAGCTCTTCGTTTCATTGATTTTGTCTATTGTTTTTAAGACTCTGTTTTATTTATTTCTGCTGTGATTTTTATTATTTCCTTTCTTCTGCTGATTTTGGGCTTTGTTTGTTCTTTTTCTAGTTCCTGTAGGTGCACTGTTAGATTGTTTATTTGGGATTTTTCTTCTTTGTTGAGATAGGCCTGAATTGCCATAAACTTTCCTCCTAGAACTGCTTTTTCTGTATCTCATAGATTTTGGCATGTCATATTTTTATTTTCATTTGTCTCAAGGTATTTTTTGATTTCTCCTTTGATTTCTTCATTGACCCAGTCGTTGTTCAGTAGCATTCTGTTTTAATCTCCACATTTTTCTGGCTTTTCTGATTTTCTTCCTGTAGTTTATTTCTAGTTTCATACCTTTGTGGTCAGAAAAGATGCTTGGTATTATTTTGATCTTCTTAAATTTGTTTAGATTTGTGGACTAACATGTGATCAATCCTGGAGAATGTTCTGTGTGCATTTGAAGAGAATGTGTATTCTGTGGTTTTGGGATGGAATGTTCTATATATATGTACTAAGTCCATCTGATCTAATGTGTCATTTAAGGCCAATGTTTCCTCATTGAGCTTCTGTTTGGATGATCTATCCATTGGTGTAAGTGGAGTGTTCAAATCCCCTACTATTATTATGTTACTGTCTATTTCTCCTTTTACGTCTGTTAATAGTTGCTTTATATATTTGAGTGTTCCTGTGTTGGGTGCATAGATATTTACAAGTGTTATATCCTATTGTTGGATTGTTCACTTTCTCATTATGTAGTGCCTGTCTTTGTTTCTTGTTACAGTTTTTGTTTTAAAGTCTATTTTGTCTGATATAAGTATTGCTACCCCTACTTTCTTTTCTTTGCCATTTGCATGGAATATCTTTTCCCATCCCTTCACTTTCAGTTTGTGAGTGTCTTTAGTTTTGAAGTGTGCATGTTGTAT